GTTTTTTTTATCAAAAAACTTTATTTATGCGAGTACTATTTATTTTTGGCAAGAAAAGTTTTGTGTCTCTTTAAAAACTTTGAAATTTTCTAAATTGTAATTTTTGATTCTTCCGATTCAAAAGGTTGCCGACCCTTGCTGTAGGCCATGCCGCTCGGTGGTCCCATTAGAATCTTTATATTTATTATTATTTTTATGGTTGGCGCACATGCTAGATGGCCTGCATAAAATTGATACCCCATAACAATCGTAAACCACTCAGGCTGCCCCCGTAGCTACGTACTTGTGTCAACTGTAAAAAGGCTTTCTATTTTGTGCTTTTTCAGCAGTTTTACCTACCTTTTGCACCTTTTGAAAACAAAAAAAAAAAAAAGAAACGAAAGAAAAGTCGTATTCGAGTGGGAAGTTCGACGTTGACTAATGCGAGCTCGTCCACAGTCTATAAAAATTATACCTTTTGTGGCCAACCGCCAGAGTAGCTGCGACTCGGCGGTGGAGGTCAGAAATTGCCAAAAGGCGCTGACTGCGCTCCTGGCGCCGTTCCAAAGTTCAATCTGAAAGAACACTGCACTTCTTAACTTTCTGAAATCATTTCAATGGGTCGTTTTTTGTCGCAGACAAATCGGTTAAGTTTCACGTACACGGCAAAGATAAAAAAGGAATTTAAAGGGAAATTAGAACCCAATGAAGAAAGAAACTGCTTAGAAATAAACTAATAACAAATTCTGGAAGATTTAGCTGTGGTGTCGTGTTGTCCTGCCTAGTATTTTAATGGTCCTCGATTCAAATGGACACCTTAGTAAGATCCTTGTCTGGCATTTGAAATACCTACCTGAAATAAGATTGAAATCGCGATTTAAAGGGTTTTTAAATCCCGCCTTAAAGTACCATGAAGGATTATGTAATCAAATCATATCTCAAACAGTTCTTCAAGATATACTTTAGGTTTTGATAAGAGAAACAATCTTCATAATGCAATGCATTTTTGAGTTTGGAAATTTCAGATTACCAATTTTTAATAATTTTTTTTTCTAAAATAAATAGGAGTTTGTACCTAATCAAATCAATCTTTGCAGAAACAGCTTCAGAAGTCCTACACGATTACTACCATGATTACCATCCACAGCCACTTTTATTTCGAAAATACCTTGGAAGTGTTTGTACCTAATCAAATCAATCTTTGCAAAAACAGCTTCAAAAGTCCTACACGATTACTACCATGATTACCATCCACCTAGCCACTTTTATTTCGAAAATACTTTGGAAGTGTTTATACCTAACCAAACCAAACAGCAAAACAGCTTAAGAAGTCCTACACAATTACTACCATGATTACCATTTTCGAAAATACTCTGGAAGTATTTGTACCTAACCAAATCAAATAGCAAAACAGCTGCAGAAGTCCTACACCATAACTACCACCCGTCTATTCCTGTATTTCCTTAAAAATCCTCAAGAGTTTTGTAAACAAATTCGTAGTGACAGTAGCTTTAGAAACCCTATGTAAATCATTAATTTCATCCAATTAAGATTTCAGTTCATAACCAATTATGGTATCATAACTCAGCATATTAAAAATTCCTACAACACATCTTTAAAGTTCTTTATCGGTTATAAATACAGCAATTGAGTTACGAGTAGTTTTTAATAAACAACAATAATTATTTCGGTCCCTCTTGGAAATTACGTGGTAGAACATAATCTGTAATTAGTGCAAGTTTAAATTACTTCTCCATTTGAAAAAAGAACAATATACCTATAGTTCAATAAAAGCTGTTTGTAATTCAACTATTATGTTATTTCTGATTATTTTATATTTTTTTATACGCCCTTTTAGTCTATGTTATTATTTTCTTTCAGACTCTTGGTCAGAAAACAAAGGTAACGCCTTCCGTCGTATGAATAAACACAGAATTGGTTGCTACTGCTATAGACAGTAAAATGTGTCCTCGAACAGCGTCTCGACGCCCCTGATGGAAGCTGACGGCCTTCTTCTTCGAGAATGTTGCTCTTGTAGACGCTCATTTTGATGTTTAGTTAGTGCTCGCTAACTGGCAGTACCGATTGTAGTTTTTGCTTTGGCGTCGCTGGTACGCAGACGCCGCACCGACGTCCGTCGTCGCGTTCGTGCTACAGAGTATCTTTCGTCCTGCCACATACAAATATTGTACTGTAGAATGATTTCGCGCTAGCAGATCGCTCATACAGTGTCCGAATTGAACCCGCACATTTTTTCGTGAAAGTGAACACAACACTAACTTCTAAAAGTGTGAAAAGTGAAGAATAGGAATCGTTTTTCATCCAGCAACGTAAATAAATAACCCAAGTAAGTGACAGACCTTTTAAACTGATTTTCTATTTATTAAATACGCGCCAAAACTTTACTGTAAGTTTGAATGTTACCAGAGTGTAATCGTTTTTCATCCAGCAACGTAAATAAATAACCCAAGTAAGTGACAGACCTTTTAAACTGATTTTCTATTTATTAAACACGCGCCAAAACTTTACTGTAAGTTTGAATGTTACCAGAGTGTAATGGATTATTATAAATTTTAGGTTTTTGCCGCTGCTTTAAATGTAAATGACAAATTGATACATATAGTAATTAACTTAATTAATTAAGGAATAAGTTGGTTTCAGTTTAGTATCATTTTATGAAGTTCGGCATTGACACATGAAACTAAAAGTAGTAATAAAAAAAGTAATTTTATTCACTGCTTTAACGAAGTATAAAAGTTGCTCTTTTTGTGTTTTCAAGTAAATACTTTTTATTCAATCAATGAATAAAAGCATCATCCATTATTAATTAGTTTGTAATAAAATAAATGGAAGTGGTATTGACAAACAGTAAAGTAAAACAAAAATACTGGTACGGAAGGGAAGAAAAAGTAGGGAAAGAGCGAATATAAAAATATGAGACCAAAGATTTGAAGAAGTGGCCGATTTTAGGTACCTAGGAGGTCAGATAAGTTAGGACGGAAGAACTAGTAGGGATATAAAGTAGAGGATAGCGTAGGGTCGAGATTGTTAAAGGTGTATATTTGGAGCGCGACTTTGTACGGGTGCGAAACATGAACAATGGGCGCTGCGTAAAAAAGATAGAAGTGTTGGAAATGTGTTGTTACAAGCGAATGATGAGGATACCGTGGATTGAGAAGGTTAAAAATGAAGAGGCATTAAAAAGAATAGAAGAATAGAGGACTCTGTGGAAGACAATAAGAAATAGGCTAGATAGGTTAGTAGGACACCTTCTCAGACATGAAGGTATAGTCAGAGACATATTAGAGGCAGAAACGGGANGTTCTTTATCGGTTATAAATACAGCAATTCAGTTACGAGTAGTTTTTATTAAACAACAATAATTATTTCGGTCCCTCTTGGAAATTACGTGGTAGAACATAATCTGTAATTAGTGCAAGTTTAAATTTGAAAAAAGAACAATATGTCTACCGAAATAATTTATTATGGTTCAATAAAAGCTGTTCGTAACTCAACTATTGTGTTACTTTTGATTATTTTATGTTTTGTACACCCTTTTAGATCATGTTATCTTTCAGATTCTTAGTCAGAAAACAAACGTAAAGCCCCCCGACGTATAGAATGGGTTGCTATTGCTATAGACAGTAAAATGGGTCCTCGAACAGCGTCTCGACGCCCCTGATGGAAGCTGACGGCCTTCTTCTTCGAGAATGTTGCTCTTATAGACGCTCACTTTGATGTTTAGTTAGTGCTCGCTAATATAACTGGCAGTACCGATGGTAGTTTTTGCTTTGGCGTCGCTGGTACGCAGACGCCGCACCGACGTCCGTCGTCGCGTTTGTGCTACAGAGTATCTTTCGTCCTGCCACATACAAATATTGTACTGTAGAATGATTTCGCGTTAGCAGATCGCTCATACAGTGTCCGAATTGAACCCGCACATTTTTTCGTGAAAGTGAACAAACTAACTTCTAAAAGTGTGAAAAGTGAAGAATAGGAATCGTTTTTCATCCAGCAACGTAAATAAATAACCCAAGTAAGTGACAGACCTTTTAAACTGATTTTCTATTTATTAAATACGCGCCAAAACTTTACTGTAAGTTTGAATTTTACCAGAGTCTAATGGATTATTATAAATTTTAGGTTTTTGCCGCTGCTTTAAATGTAAATGACAAATTGATACATATAGTAATTAAGTTAATTAATTAAGGAATAAGTTGGTTTCAGTTTAGTATCATTTTATGAAGTTCGGCATTGACACATGAAACTAAAAGTAATAATAAAAAAAAGTAATTTTATTCACTGCTTTAACGAAGTATAAAAGTTGCTCTTTTTTGTGTTTTCAAGTAAATACTTTTTATTCAATCAATGAATAAAAGCATCATCCATTATTAATTAGTTTGTAATAAAATAAATGGAAGTGGTATTGACAAACAGTAAAGTAAAACAAAAATACTGGTACGGAAGGGAAGAAAAAGTAGGGAAAGAGCGAATATAAAAATATGAGACCAAAGATTTGAAGAAGTGGCCGATTTTAGGTACCTAGGAGGTCAGATAAGTTAGGACGGAAGAACTAGTAGGGATATAAAGTAGAGGATAGCGTAGGGTCGAGATTGTTAAAGGTGTATATTTGGAGCGCGACTTTGTACGGGTGCGAAACATGAACAATGGGCGCTGCGTAAAAAAGATAGAAGTGTTGGAAATGTGTTGTTACAAGCGAATGATGAGGATACCGTGGATTGAGAAGGTTAAAAATGAAGAGGCATTAAAAAGAATAGAAGAATAGAGGACTCTGTGGAAGACAATAAGAAATAGGCTAGATAGGTTAGTAGGACACCTTCTCAGACATGAAGGTCTAGTCAGAGACATATTAGAGGCAGAAACGGAAGCTAGGAGGGGTAGAGATAGGCCTTGATTAGATTACTATTCGTAAATAGTTAAGAATTTGGGATGTTCTAGTTTTATGGAAATGTGAAGATTAACTCAGGATAGGAAAGAGTGGAGGTACGTGTCCAACCAGTCTTAGGACTTACGACTTTCCAAATTCTCTACTATACTAAAATTATTCTTTGGAAAAGTATTGCGTACAAAATAAAAGTATTATATTGGTTAGCGTATTTAACTCGCGTGACCATCGTTTCGCTATACTGCGTCTACTTCAGATGTATACAATAATACTTACAATAAAATCTAGTTCAAATTTACATTGCATTAAGAAATGGTGGGAGTTTTTCTGTCGCTATTCTTTTGTGTGTCGGACAACAAGGAAAAAGCAATTGTACGTATAGAGATCGCACAGTGAATGATGGCTTTTGGTCTGAATGCGGCTAGAAAACTTGTGTCCCGAAAAAAGGTTGCGCTTTTCATGAAATATTGACGACCATGTATCAAAGCGAACCGCGTGTTTTTAACTGTCCGTGTTAGTCATTTGTTAGGCATGTCGAGGAAGACGTCTTTCCTAAAAAAAAAAAAAAGAAAATCAACGAAACCCTTACGTCGTCCAAAGCCACTTTCTCTTCGTGAAACCTTTAGTGAAAATTCAACAACGAAGGAAATGCGAAAACAACCCTCTCGATAAATTTTACAGGGAAAAGGAACTTCAACATGTCACGAGAGCTCTTTCCCCGAGTCAAAAAATTGGGACTCATTTTGTCCTCATTTGATCTCAATAGAATTTTTAGGGATATTTCAAACTACAAGACTCAAAAGTCTCATTTTATCCGCGGTTTTCCCGTATCAGGACAAAATGAGACTTTTGAGGAGTAAAGATTATTTAGGAAACCTCATTTTGTCTTCAAAAAGTCTCATTCTTTTCTTGTTGAGGTTAAATTGAGGACTATTGCCATAGGATTGCAGACATTGAGAATAAAATGAGACTTTTTAGAATCCAATGTGATGAGTCTTATGAAAACTTATTGAGGTATCTGAGATTAAAAACGTCTAAATGAGGAAAAAATGAGTCTAAATAGTTCATTTGAGGATAAAATGAGTCCCAATTTTTCGACTCGGGTCAACACTATTATTCGTTAAAGTTTCTCCGATGTTCAAAAACCTTTTCTTATTGTTAAGTTTTTTTTTTGATAGATACATTAATGAGATATTGCGGTAATCGTAATAATTCGAATAATTTTGTAGTCGAAGGAAATGTGAGAAATGTGTAGTGGATTCTCTTATAGAGCTTCTGTGTGAAATCGGAGATAGAAATTCGAGGCCAGCGCCCTCGTCTGAGTTGTTATTATTTTTTTTTATTATTATAATCCAAACTAACACATTTGTGAAATTTGAGTTTTATTATGGGAATAAAATGAATGTGAAAATTCAGTTACAATTTTTGATAATAAAACAAGTGAAAATAAAATCAGAATATCGGTTAGAAATTAGGAAATGTTGTTTTTTCACGTGTAAGTACTTCTTAGTATATATACATATGTAAATAAAACCCAAAGGGAAGAAAATATAATTTAAAAAATTGAAACACAGAGGGTGATATTGATCTGATCAAACAAAACCAGATTTATCAAAACAAACGTCGCTTTAGAATATAATTGGTAATTATTTGAAAGTAAGTAATGAGACGCCCAAGAATACGCTGGTTGTGAATCCATTGATACAAGGGTTTATGGTCAAGAAGCAGGGTTAAACAGCAGGCCAAACATGATATACTCTAAATTATGTTGTTTATCAAATATAATTAAATTGTTTAGTTATATTTATCACCTGTTCCGGCAGTTGCAATAAGTTTTTGGCCCTCCGGTGCTCGTCCATAAGTTGAACTTTAGATTAAACATTGGCTTGGTATCAATGTAATAAACAAGATTATCCATCCGATATTTGGAGGACTTTCTTTGTTCAAAAAGTCTGCCCACATTTTACCATTTGTTTCATCAACATTTAAAATGCTGTCATAAACATTCCTCAAAACGGCAATTCGGTGAAAAGTTTGTCTAAATCAATTTCGATGTGAATGTCGAGAGCTTCCGAAATTCCAGTTGAACATTAGCCCATTTTTCAGGTCAAATATGTAGTGTATATGTTAACGGAAATGTATGAAATCTAGGAAGTTTCGAAGATTTTTTAATACACACATATCCTAGGAAATGTATACGTTTCCTAGGAATTGTATAAAATTCCGATATTGTACTAGGAAATATGTAAAACAAATGCTTTCTGTGAATAAAATGAATAAAACACGTTAGTAAACTAAGAATGAGAGTGTTTACGCAGTTCTAGTGTAATTGCTTGATGTATATGCATTAGTGACGTTATTGTATGATTATTAGATAGATTTGTGACAGACTGGAGTTTCTTTAATACTTCTGCCTGCCGAAGTCGGGCTGATATGTTGGAATAATGTCTTCGAAAAGTATGCTTCATTATGATCTCCGCGCCCAACATGATAATGAAAATGATCAGCATTATCACCTCTACAACATACTAAAAATTCAAGGTCATCGTGCTTGCTGAAACAAAGATAACTCGTCACATTATTCTAACATATAGGTAACATATCAGCCTTCCCCCGGCGAGCAAGGGCTTTAAAGATTAAAGGAACTTGAGTCTGTCATAAACTTCCCTAATCAAACAATGACGTCACAAATAGATATAGGTAGGTCAAAACAGCCTTCCGTATTACCTATTTAGTATTGCCCGTAATACATTTCCGATTGCTATTTAGGAAGTGTATAGATTTCCTAAGAAATGTGTCTAATATAATTTATTTTACACATTTTCGGGCTATTTTAGAAATTACATATATTTCCTAGGAATTGTGTACAATGACGAATTACACACATTTCCGTTAACATATGTATTGATTCACAGATGCAACATTAATTTTCGGGGACGTTTTTGTAAATTCTGAGTCCCGGGACATACTCTCGGATTTCAGGACTATCGCAGTCATAGGCGTACCCAGCTTCTGCCCTAGTGGGGAGCAAGTCAGATTTTTTTCAGGTCATGAAGCATTAGGTATATGTAGGGCAAACAGCCGCAAATGATCCTGCTTTATAGGTAGTTAAGGATGTTTGGGAGGTATGTCCGAATGCTACGAAATAAATAAAGATTTAGAAAAACGTTCCTCATTCAATTCTAAAACTCCTGTAAAAATTACAAATCGATTTACTAAACCTTTAAAAAGTTATTGAAGTTTTAAAAAATTGTAATTTTACACGTCATTTTATGGAGATTCGTTAACCGAACAGATTAAATTTATTTTTATTAACAGAAAAAAAGCTACCAGAAATTTCAAACTTTTATAATAAGTAACTTGAACTCTGGAGAATCACTTTAGCGTAAGGTTATTCAAATTCACTAAATGGTTATCGAGGAAAAAATGAAAAATTAGCTGAAAATCTCGTTTTTACTTGATAATATAATGATAATATTTATAATTGTCTGAAATAAATGCAATTTTAAAGTTTTAATTATTATTTAAACATATTAAAAAGTTTTACGCTCATTATTAATAGAGATTGAAACTAAATATTTTTTTGTTTCGAAGTTGAAATCAAGGCATATTCACTGCCAAAAGTCAGTTAAAAATTTTCCATATTATTCGTTATTTCTTATTTTATTCAAAGTTTTTGGTCAAATTCCAAATTTTCTCTCAAACCGTATACTTTTTTTTAGTATAGATAGCATTTATTTACCTCATGATATGCTGCAAAACCTAATTATTTACGAATTTCTAATTTTATGTACTCTTGTCTCCGATTGTACCTCCCAAACATCTTTAAATAAATAAAAGTAAATTTGAGTATGCATTTATATTTTATTTTAATCATTAAATTCGACTTCTACTATTTTATTCAAAAGTGAGCATACAAGGCCCCGTTTACACTTTGATTAGTGATTAGGCGAGTTCATATACGAGATTTCCAGGGGGGCAGTCGCCCCCCTCTTCCCCCCTGGGTACTCCCATGATCGCAGTGGGTTTCAACCATCTGGCAACCCTAGATATGTACATGAATATTGATGCATTTAATTTTATGAATGTACTAAAGGGGGTACCTAATTGATGTCTTTATCACGAAGGTT